GTTAGAGATACTAGAATGTTTCTAAAGGTAATTAATGTAACAATATAACTTGAATGAAACTAGTTTTGAATTATTTATATAAAACAAATATTTCGTAAGATAGTATAGGAAATAATGTAACATTTATTTATCGGCGTGTTATATTGTCAATAAAAAACGTTACCGTTAATTTACCATTGAAATTTTCCTTTGTGTATTATGGGTAATGTATGAGATGAACTTTTTAAGACAAGATTTTCATGTTACATTTCGGTTTTTGTGTTTGATATAAATTTGATATAAATTTGAAACGAAAACTCCGACAAGCTTATCGTTAACCGAAATTTTTTTCTTTTACGACCAGTTATATTTGACTAATTCTACGCATTTAGCATTCAAAGATTTTCATTTCTTACATCTATTTTTATTTAACAAGTCGTACATCAATAATTCATTGAAATTTATATAAACAGATAATTACTCGTTAACGTAAATATAAATTTTTTTTTCTATTTTCGAAAAAAAAAAAAAAAATTCATAGCCTATTTTATCTTCACATTTATTAGTTAACATGCCGGATTCTGCTATAAGTATTAACTCGGATACCGATAGTGAGATATCTTCTAGAAAGTATAATTCCTTGAAGGACGATACTTTGACTATATCTACAACTATATCCTCTACAGAAAGTGCTTCTTATGATAATGATAATAACTTTGAAGATCTTGATCGACTTATTCATGAACGACACATAAAAGTAACTAATTGCGAAGCCAATTTCGAAGATTCAGAACCTGATCAAAGTAAACTTAAGACTTTGCTTAGTCTTTTAAAAAATTTAATCGGTGTTAAAGATATTGTCTCCTTGTAAGTATCGGCCAGTAGCATTATACTGTATATGCCTCATCATATTTATTTATTTATTTATTTTTGTTTGGTAATTTTGTAAAATTTTTTTTTCTTTTTTAATTCTCTTTTATATAGACGAATTTCACTTCCATCACAACTTCTCGAACCTATTGGAAATTTAGAATATTGGAATTACAATGATAGACCCGATTTTTTAACTTGGTAAACATTATCAAAATCAACTAATTTCAAAATTGTTAATATATATGTAATTTAAACCCTAAACTTATAATCTTGTAATCTGGAATTTCTAGTATTGGTGATTCTGATGACCCATTAGAAAGAATGTTTGCCACAATTCGATGGTGGTATTCCAAAGATTTGAAATATGTGGTACGTATTACATATTTAACTTGTAAAATTTTATATATCTACGTTAATAATTAATAATCTTGTCATTTTTTATTAGAAAGGAAAATTGATAAAACCATATAATTCAATCTTGGGCGAACAATTTATATGTCATTGGAATGTGCCCGCTCCAAAATTTGATAAAAATGGTCACTTCATAAATAACGCTGAACCCAATAACAAAAATTATCTAGTTACATGTCTTAATGAACAAATATGTCATCACCCACCAGTATCAGCTTTTCATTATAATTGTGAAGAAGCGGGTGTATCAGCCTATGGAATAGATCAAATCGCGGCAAGATTCACTGGAACTAGTAGGTCTTATTTATTTTAAGATCGAATACAGTATAGACAATACTTATTCTAAATCAATTGTTAATAATCAATTTTATTAATGGTTGACCTATACTGAATTCGATCACTTATTAAATATTATAATATTATATTCATAACGACTAATAATTCTTGTTTGTAATACACGTAGCTGTAAAAATTGGTCCTGGCGATCAAAATAAAGGAATCTATATTAACTTGGCTAAAAGAGACAATGAAGAATATTTATTAACTCATCCTGGTACTATAAACATATTTATTCTTTCATGCGTTATTATTATTATTATTTTTCTTTTTACAATTCCTAATTAATTTCTTTGATCGTAGTGGCATCTGTTCAAGGGTGGCTTAAAGCCTCATTATATATCACCGTAGGTGAAAGTTGTATTGTAACGTGTCCAAAAACAAAATTAAAAGCTATTTTAGAATATAAAGACGAGGTATTTTTTGACCTTCATTACATTTTAAGTACCTTATGATAAATATATTCACTTTTATTTATTATAAATTATACAATTTTTTAGCGATGGATTGGAAAGCCCAAATTCGCGATAGAAGGAAAGATTTTCAAATACGATCCAACAAATGATGATATAAAGAAACTAAAAAGCGTTGACGATAAAGATGTTGTTGCTGAAATCTATGGATCTTGGCGTGGAAAAGTTCATGCTACAAGATTAGACACTAATGTATATATGATTATTAAAAATTTTGAACTTAAAAAATTTATTATTAAATATCTTAAATGCTAATCGAATATTATTTACGATTTTACAGAAAACAAATTTGCTTGTAGATTTAAATGAGCTCGCTCCGATCCCGAAAATTGTAAAACCAATTGCAACACAAGGTCCACTCGAATCACGTAGAGTATGGCAACCTGTATCAACTGCTCTTTTTCAAAGAGATTACTCAAAAGCTACAAAGGAAAAGATTGCAATCGAGGATCGTCAAAGACGATTGGCAGCTGAAGCAAAAGCGAATAAAGAAGAATTTGATCCTGTATATTTCAAATTACCTGTTGTTGATGGACGACCGGAATTGAAAGATAAAGCGTATCAAGTTTTACAAAGCGGGAACTTTTAAACTATTTTGTATTTATATATTGTTAAATTTTCGAGAAATTGTTTTTTCAAAAAAAAAAAATTTTTTTTAATAAAAATTTCAAAAAAAAAAATTATTACTGTATAATTTCATTAACATCATTATTATATAATTATAGAAATTGATTACTTATTTGAGCATTGTTGTCTCAATAAGGATTTTTACAACTTCATAGTTAGCTGTCATCAATTATTTGAGCATTGGAAAGACAGTTTTAATATGAAAATATGAAGATTAACTTCAATGATAGGCACACGTGTTACTGATATAACGATCAGTTATGATCAACTAATTTGTGATATATTAAATATGTATATTTTTTATATACATTTTATTGGAAATATAGATTACTTTTCTTTTTATCTATAACTTACAATTTTTTTTCCTAACTTATAATTTTTTCTCTTATTTTTTCACAACATTAATACTATAACT